GCTATCCATTCAATGCGTCCCTGAGATGTAAACAACACAATCAGTTGTTAATGGATGCATTTTCTGTCCTCACTTCGATACTGATATTTTCATTGTACGAGCATGAGATAATTCTGGTTTAGCGATAAGCGCTACGATGAATGTGAATTTTTCTCCACGAAAATGAGAGTTCAAGGTTGAAAAACTATTTCACTCATTAATATTTCAAGTAAAAAGTCAGCAGAAGAATGTCGGACTGATCTTCATTTCATGTTCCAAGATCAATAAATGCCAGCACATTGTTTTGTTTAGAAACGCTCAAGAAGAAGGAATGTGTTCGAAGTGAACCATAATTCAATGACGAACAGGCCATAGTTGACTAAATTGAACTCTTCAAAGGTTCCGAAAATTTCTTGAGAGCTCTATTCGTATCACATTAATCAAACTACCAAATCCACTGGATTTCGATTTCAAGCAATTTGCTTCCATCGAAAACGGAACAATTTGCTCGTTTCAAAAACTACCTGAATGCGAAACTACGCAAAACATGAAACGACGACTCTAAGAAACGAAAATATGTGGAATAGAAGAAAGAGCGATTGCAGTATTGACGCATTGAATTGAACCGAATTCGATGAAGAAGCTTTCTTTTGATGACGAATTGGAAACGATCAAGGAAAAAGTATTGATGGTAAACGGCAAACTAACTTTTGGTGGTGAATGTGTTTGGGATCCACTACTGCTCGTGCCAATATCGTCATAGTATTTTTGAACATTAATCTGAAAGTTTTCACACAAATGCTCTCATAAGATGTGTCGAGAATTCGTGAACAATTTTGAGTGCAATGCTCTCGGGGGATTCACAAATGATCTCTGTTTAGTGTAGACCGAGAAGTTTGCAATTTTTTGCATTCTTTGCATGTTCAACGCATGAAGTCACCAAAACCAGATTGATTTGGCTGTTGAAATTTCTTGCAGTCCGAAAACTGGAATAATGATAAATTACACGACTGAGTGTAGGTAAAATACCACCAAAAGAGCAGAATTTTGTGTTGGCTGATAACAATTTTCCTACAAAACAGCAATTTAGGCCATATATGAATCTCGAGTTTGCTCACCTTGCTCTCGGGAAAGTTCTGTTTCTCGCCCAGTTCAGGTCGTAACAAAAAGAAATCACCATCGTTAATCTGAAGATTTGACGAGATAAACGAGAAGTGCAGCTAACTCATTCGTCGCGCAAAATTAAAATAATGATCTTAATGTCAATTGTCGCACATTAAATCTTTGATTGCGTTTTGAAGAGAGTGGTGGTAAATGTTGTACGTAGCTAAATTTACGACATTATCTTGCGTAAAAATTTTCTGTTTGAAGTTTTTGAATGTGAATCTGATGAGGTTGAAAAGTGAAGAGGCATTAAAATGGCTGAATGAAGTGAAATGCTATCGAGAGGTGCTTCATGAAAAATATCTATGAAATTGACAACTTTGCGTTACCAGCCAATTGCCCTTTTATATTAAGCTGATTAGCTGATTGCGCTTTTCAGTTGAGTTGCATTACTGTGGTTGTAGTAGAATGATATCAGTGGTTATCAGCAATAATTCTATGGAAGAGTCGAAAATGGCACGCATCTCTGATGATAATAATTAAGATGACAAAAAAAGAGAATCGTAATCCGTTTAAACTCACCACCGTTCGCTCAAACGATTGCAAATTCTCGTCAAAACCAGTTTCGCTCTAAAATCACACGACGATATCATTACTGTTAGTATGTCTGATGGACTTTCAACAACACTCAAATGACATACTTTTCATCTTATTTGCATAAACTGATTATCAAGCACGACTGCAATCCAATTTGCAAAAGGCGTTTTTAAGGATGAAATAGTTTTTATTAGATTTTTTTATTGACTAAACGAAATCGGACACAGTTAAAACCGTGCGATTATAGAGTTTACATCAGTTTAACGTTGGAATCAACCCTACCACCCAGAAATAATCCTGTCAAAGTGTGAGCAAGTACAGAGATTACATCATATCATCGAAAGCCATCATTTGGGCTGAACCAAAGCCTGGGTAGCTGATCGCTTAGCCAGAGTATTCAGCTGACAAACGATATCTACCCTTAGTCGGTAAATGTGAGAGCAACTCGCAATAGAACTTACCATCATATTGGCCTTTTTGATTAGTCGTCGTACAGGGAAAGCCATACAACCCAACATTCTTTTACGTCTGAAATTTAACATGAGGTCAACAATATTCACTGAAATGCGTTCGATAATAAATGTTAACACCACATGAAAATTGCATCTTATACTGGGCAACAACGGAAGTCATGCACGACAAATGCATTGAAACATCGCAGAAATGAAGGTCAGAGCGATTCAGAAGATCTATTTTTCGAGTATAATATTATAGGAGCACAGTCCAATAAGTTCATTCCCTAAACTGGAAACGAATTTCAATGGGAATCACATCCAACTATGATCAATATCACAAGCGATGCCACAAATTAATGAAACGTCAACGCGCCTAAACTTATCGAACTCTACTAACAGCTAAAACACCAAAAGAAACGACAAATTCTATCGACTTTTAATTATAGCGAACGTTTTCCAATGTCACAAAAACAATAATCATTCATCTGAAATGCTCACACATTCCATGTTCCCATTCAAATAGCATTTTATCAATGATAAGCCCAAAACAACTTGCTGATCAATCATCATTCAATATCCTCATGCGGCGATAAGTGGTAAAGATCGACGGAAGACGAGCGCTTTCAACATAAGAATAAAACAAAATCAAGATTCGCTGACGAGCGCTTCGACTTAATCAAGATGGATTAGTCAGACGTGAACTAAATTGAGGCTAATCGCACTGAAACTGACAAAATCAGACGGACGAAGACTGATAAATTAATGAGTAATCGTGAAACTAATCTTAACGCTTTAGGTTAATGTTATCTTATTTCGAATACTTTTCGTAAATGAATAAAACAGTAGCGTTGTTCAGTGAGGAAATTACTAGACTTTTTGTTAAGTTAAATGCTCCTAACACTGCGAAAATTAAATGAAGAAAATAAGAGAAATGAATCAATTAACTTACGATGTATTATCGGCGTTCGTGATCCACACACTCACACCAATTAAGTCGTGGTGATGATAATTTCTCCGATGTAGTTCACTGAAAGGATGGAAGAGTTTTTCGATTAGAATCACTTTGAAAGACTAGTATAGTAGAGTTATATTGGTCAAATTTGCGTTGCGCATCACCAACATCTCTTTAACGGATTTACTTGAACGTGCGATAAAAGACGTCGATAAAGGTGTTTCCCGTAGTCGAAAGTTCGATAACATGATATGAGTTTGATCTACGGAGATTATTTTTGACTGAAGCACACTCCATGTGGATGAGTGAATACTGTAGAAATTATGGCCTTAAGAACAGCTGTGTTCTGGATCGGAACCCTCTTTAATGATCCGGCAGACCGCCGTTACTCCGAAATTACCAAAAACGGGTAAATTGACTTCCTGTGAGAACCACTGATCTACGCAAACAAACGAAATGGAAAGTAAAACATCGAATAAAAGAAACATTGTCTGACATACAATGAGAAATTTTCATAGAAATTCGGTCGATTGTTCAACGGCACAAGGCGAGTACGAAAACTCTGCTCGTGTTCGGTCTCGTAGAAGCGATCCTCAGAGCATGACCTCAACTGCTTCTTGTAACGCGGATTTCGCTTCATTTCCACCTATATTTTGCGTGAAATGATGGAATCGCAATTATTATTTTCGTGGCAAACAATCAGATCACTAATAAACAGACAGCGTTAAGTTATAATTGCCTCTTTTACGAATGATGAACGATAATTCGGAGAGATAATTCTTCACTCGCATAACTAACTATTCGATGCATATGATCTGAAAAAACGTACTCTCACGTAAGAGGATGCTTGTGATTGACAAGGGTCCAAGAAGAACGTAGCCTTGACAACGCTGATGGTTAGAAATCGTCCCGAAAGTGACATTGTTAAATGAATTTTGCCTTTGCAACCAATACGTCGAGCGAATGGAGCCGGCAGACCGAAGTGGTCGGGTTTCCAGTTCGATGCGGCATGATAGACCGATGAGAGAATCTGCGAATTTGGTCGTGACCATTCTTTTGACGGCTCCTAAGATTTCGAATGATCTCAAGTACAGTTTACACAAACAATGGCGATCTCATTTGTAATCTTCTATGGAACTGTAACGATGCACTACTTTTCACACTGATTTTTATGTTAAAGTTGAAATGTTAAATGTTTGAAATCATTTTGTGACATTTCGGATATTTTCTGTATGTCAATAAACATACGCGTGAATAGTTTCTCGTTTCAGGTTGACATATTTGACGAAAATAATCACTTTAAATGCAAACAACTCAAAGTTAACGTTCATTTTGCAATGCATAATTACCCACGTACCTCCTCAAAAAAACTTAATGGTCTCTCCAGTGCATCATATTCAGCCACATTGTAACTAAGTACTGAATTTCGATTATTCCCACGGACACGCGGTGTTGACGACGTTGCTTGTGCATACTAAAATAAACTTCTTAGATTTCTTCATTGAAATTCATNTGTGCGAAGGTGACGGATTCATACTGTAAATTTTGACGATCAAAACAGTTACAAATACTAGATCATTCGAAAGTAGATTGATGTATCTGTTCATATTTAATAGTAGCGCATGAAATATGTACAATTCGATTGGGTTTTGAATGAAAAATGTGCCGTTGTAATGTTTGGAAATACGAACAACCTTGTTGATATGACGTGGATTAGTTTTTGGAAGTCCAATGTGATGAACCGAAGTTGTTGTGGACGTTTGCAGTGGTCTCCAATTACGAGTCAACTGTAATGACGGTACCTTTGGGACATCCACATCCTCTGGATCACCTATCGGTGACAACTCCTTCAATTTGCACAAGTTTCATTTGAATATATCAACAACGAAACTTCCATTCGCCTATTTAACTCGCATACAATGGAAATCGCTTGTTAGCCAAACAGACTGATTCACTTTTCGAGTGTAGAGATGAAATTCAGCTCATTTGGCCTCATTATCTCTTCTATTTGGCTTGAAATTTATCTCTTCTATTTGCCTTAAAATTTAATTTGCCACGAAATTTTTGCTTTCATGAGCGATCTTTGAATCAGTACGAAATCAATCTGAATACTAAACACTGAGTGATCCACGTATGATCTGATTTCATGGTTTGATCATTGGCTAAGTTCAAATCCCGATCGTGACAAACATCCAAAAAATTGAGAGCCGTATTAGGTGAACTGATCAAATTCCACACCATGCAAATAACCAGTTATACTACCTCAATCATGCTAAGCCCTCTCAGCAATCGTGGAGGTGAGCTTCGGCCTTTCGTCACCGGTGTATATAATCCATAGAGTTCGTCATCATCATCTTCGAATGACGACGAATGATCGACTGGAGCGATGGTTGAGATTGAATCGAATCGAAGTCGGGCATGCGCACCGATGCCACACGGAACTTGGGCTCGACGACTGCAAAATGAAGCATCATTCATGAATGAACAAAAAAATGACTCTCGGTAGGTTCAGATTGGTGAATGAAAATGATAACTGCATGGACACTCAAAGACAACAATGAATTTGAATTCTTAATTCGGTCGTATCGTGAAGCTGTGAAGATGGCTCAGTGACATTGTAAGATAAGCGACCGAATGATAATCTGATCAATGGAAGATGTTGCGATACAGAAACATCGTTATGTAATGAACTTCTTTTGAGATTTTTCTCATCACTCTTAGTTTTGTTCGATGATCTATTTTGATTAATCAATTCACTATCAACAAATGTTGAGAACATGTCGTTCAAGTTCAAATCTTCGATTATTCAAATCACCTTCTCCGTTCACGTCCCCTTGTTAACCAGTGTCGATCTGCGCCTCGAGCCACTGGCATTGGACGATGGAAATCACTATCTGACGTAATATCCGATGGACTTTCTGCAAATAGTTCCAAATTCTCACTCATATTCATAGCGCAAAATCAGGTCTTATTGACCGATCACGAACTGTTCAAACCGGAGACTCTTTATAGCTGTACCGATTTACAAGGAGAAACCTTGGACAAATGAAACTTGACCACTCGTTAGTGACCTGTCACATCCTCAGCAATGAATCGAAACAGAATTCAGATATTCTCTCACAATTCGATAAAAAAATCTGACTGCATCAACTAATCTCACACCAGTTCATAACTCGATGGATATTAGTGATTGTAAAAAAAGCGGAATTCAATGATAAATGCGTAACGAACCATCGGTAAAATCCTCTTCATCGAGATCTGAACTGAGATTCATCAGCGTGTCACTTTCTGGAGCAGTGGCATCCTCACGGATGCGTTTCCGATCGTTTAATGAATGCAGATTGAGTGCTTTACGATTGCGTTTGTTCGCATTGTACAAATCACACATTCTGCAAGTGCTAATAGACTGTTTGCTTTTAAGATATTCCTCAGTCAGCAACGATTCGCTGCGAAATCAATGAAAACAAAATCAATGATCAGGAATCTGATCTTCTTTATTTTTTATCCACTCATGCTTACAATTAGTTAATGAAGCGACATATAGGCGACGTATCAATGATAACAGCAACAATAGTAGCAACAATAACAATACCAATAACATAAGCGATGCCCTCTCTCCAGACTGAATTATCAAACGTTCCAGTATGGATGAGGTGAGCAAATAGGAATGAAACGCATGAAATTGAAAGAAAATAAAACTG